AACTCAAAATGCATAAAAGACTTAAATGAAGTCATGAAATCATAAACATCCTAGAAGAAACTATAGGCAGCAAACTCTCAGACATCTCTCATAGCAATGTGTTTACGGATACATCTCCTAAGGCAAAAGAAAGTAAGGAGAAAATAAACAAACATATCCTACACTGTGGCTGACTGTTCTGTCTGCCAATTCTGTGCCACCAAGGAGGTACTTAGGTGCTAACCAGTGTCAGAAACTGTGCTCCTTTGGTTTTCAGCAACCTGCTTGAAGCTCCAAGTGATCCGCAGTTTGTGTCTGTCTCCACAGGACTTGGCTGCCAGCAGCTGGGGCCAATCTGCCCTCTAAACTAGGTTTGTTAGTAGACTGGGGCCCAGGGCTGGGCCAGCCAACTTCCCCTGGTTCTCTGTCTCTGCCTGCCTTTGCCTGTTAGCCAGCTGTCAATCTTAATCATTCAGAAGTTTGTTTCTTTTAGGTGGAGGTGCTGTTCAGATTTCAGGGAATGTGGTGAGTGTGTTTCCCTGTCACAAAGCTACTCCTCTGCAAGTGACCCAAAATATTACTCTGCCCTCAGCTGGGCAGAGATCCTTGTATGCAATCCAGTGGGATCAGCTGGAAACCTGGAGTTTCTATTAGCTCTACTTTGCTGGGACTGTCCCAGTCAGGTTCATGGGATAGTGGGGCAGGCCATCCCTGCCCTATTCCAGTCACTGAGGGCTCCTGTGACTGTCCGAACCCACAGGCTTGGCTTCTGCTTTTGTTTCCTCTGGAAAGGTCAAAATGTATGGCGTGGCAGGCAGTGCTCCTGAGGGTGGGGTGGGCTGTATCCTCTAGGGCAAGGATTTTTTTTTTCTTTACTTGTTCTTTGGCTGCTTGTGCTACAGAGAGTCCCATGAACTTCGGTTAGGCATATTTGTCTGGATGGGCTGAAGGCTATATTAAGCTTTAGATTGAGCTATAAATTAGCTTCCTGCCTAATTGGGGCTACAGAACTGACCGCAGGGTCAGAAATGCTCTGTTTTATGTGTAGATCAAATTAGAGCTAGAGAGACAGGCCCTCTGTCTTAGATCTTCATATACAGAGTTTCTGGCCTGGCATCCACTCAAATGCTATTGTAATCAAAGCTGCAGGGAGGGTTACCATTTTTTTTTTTTTTTTTGCTTTGGCAGGGTTGGAGACTCTATTCAGCAGTAAACCTAGCTACCTATTACCTTTCCTGCCTGTGTGATATTGCAGAATAGAGACCAGGGTTGACACTCCTCAAGTTTGGGAAGTTGATTAGACAGAACTATGCACCAAGCTCTCTGGACAGAAAGAGATGGCATCTTGGCTCTTAAGACAGAGAAAGCTAAGCAATTTTCCAAGTGCTCTGCCCAGTCTTCTTGGTTGGGTAAGGCCAGGAGCTACACTCAACAATTGGCAGCGTTATTAATTAGCTCCCTTGTCTGGCTGGAGCAGTAAAAATAGCTCCAAAGCTAGTAAATCACTGCCCTCAAGTTTCCTGACCAAACAGGGTCACATTCTTTGCTCTTGATCAGCAGTGCTGCTTGCTGGATTCTGCACTTAAATGCTGCTGGACCAAGAAGCTTCCTAGATGCTCTGGCCAGGCTTCTGGTTGGGTGGGACCAGGAGCCAGATGTAGCAGTTGCCAAGGTTTTGAATTAGCTCTCATGCCTTGATGGAGTGGTAACTAGGCTCCAGGGCTGCCAAGGCTTTTTGTTTGAGGTCCTAATTTAGGCACCTGCACCCTGCCAAGTTTCCTGGTCAGACCATGCCACTGTATTTAATTCCCAACCAGTGGCTTTGCATATCTGGATAGCTGCTGGTTGGGAATTCTACTTAGGTGCTCTAAGTAGTAACTCAGTCTTTTAACCAAGTATTGGTTGCTCCTCCCCTCTTCTCCATCACAATGAATCCCAGTGGTTATCCCTTCAGGTTATGACTTTAACACTGAAGAATTAAACTATAATGCTCAAAGTGGTAAATGTTCCTACGCCTAAAAAGTCAACCAATACTTGACGAAGTAGGCAAGAACATACAATTGGTTCAAGATAGTGTATTTAGTAAATGAACTAATTGGACAGATACATGCAAAAAATGAAACTAGACCACCTTCTTAAAACATGTACAGTAATGAACTCAAATTAAATAAAATATTTCAAAGTAAAAATGAAAGCAATAAAACTCTTGGCAAAAAACAAACAAACAAAAAAACCAAAAAAAAAAAAAACATAGACAGTAAAATTTCAGACATTTCTTGTAATAATACATTTTATGATATATATATACATATATATATATATATATATATATATATTCATTCAAAGGAAACAAAAGAAAAAATTAATGAATAAGACTACATCAAATTAAGATGTTTTTGCATAGCAAATGAAACTATTAACAAAATGAAAAGAAAACCCACTGATTGGAAGAATATATTCACCAATGATACATCTGATAGGAGGTTAATATCCATATTTTTAAAGAACACATACCATTCAATATCTGAAAAACAAACAATCCAATTATAAAATGGGCAAAGGACCTGAATAGATACTTCTCCAAAAAGGACATACAGATAGCCACTAGACATATGAAAAAATGCTCAACACTAATCATCAGAGAAATGCAAATTAAAACCAGAATGATATGTCACCTCACACTTGTCAGAATTACTATAACCAATAAATCCAGAGATGACAAGTTTCGAGGAGGATGTGGAGAAAAGGAACCCTCTTGCTCTGTTGGTGAGAATGCAGGTTAGTGCAGTCACTGTGGAAAACAGTCTAGAGTTTACTTATAAAACTTCAATGGCACTGCCTTATTACCATTTGATTCTGCTTCTGGGTATATATCTGAAGAAACACAAAATACTAACTCAAAAAAATATATGCATCTCTATGTTCATTGCAGCATTATCTAGAATAGTCAAGATATGAAAGCAACCCAAGTGCCCATTAATAGATAAGTGGATAAAAAGCAGTGGTATATATATATATATATGAGGGACTATTACTTGGCCATAAAAAATAAAGCAGTTTTACCATTTGGACAACATGGATGGACCTAGAGGGTAGTATGCTAAGTTAAATAAGTCATTTAAAGAAGGAAAAACACCATATAATTTCACATTAATATGAAATCTAAAGAACAGTAAAAATTAACAAATTCACAGGTATACGGAACAGACTGATGGTTGCCAGACGGAAGAATTTGATGCACTGGGTGAAAAAGTGAAAGTTTAAGAGGTACAAATTGGCAATTACAAAATAATCATGAGTATGTAAAGTATAGCATAGAAAATTTTCTCCATAATCTATATATATAAAGCCCTAACATGCAAATAGACTGAATGGTGGAACAACCAAACAACCAGTCACTATGACATGCACTGACCACCAGGGGGCACGTGAAAACATGGTGGGCATTGATGGAGCAGATGATCAGGGGCACCAGAGCAAGGCGAGGCATTGGTTGATGTCATGGGGGCAAGCATCCGGTGGTTACTGAAAATTCTTTGCTCCAACTTGCTGTGGTCCCACTTGGCACTTGCACCTGCTGCTAGTTCTGGCCCAGCTCAAACCCACTGCCAGCACCAGAGCTGCCACTTGCACCGCTGCCAGTGCCCAGTGCTGGCCCCAATCACTTGGTACCATCATCAGGTGCGAGCAGTGGCTGCCAGCCCCAATTGCCCCTCAGGGCTTCTCTACCTCCTCCTGCTCTTGAGGGGTGATCTGGACAGCAGCTGCCACTTGTACATGCACTCACACCTGCTGCTGGCACTGGCCCCAATTGCTCCACACCACCAGTGGGTGCAAGCAGGGCCAGTACCATCAGCACATGGGAGTGGTGGTGGTGGGAGCGGGGCTGCCAGCAGACTGGGGACTGGGAGTTTCAGGGGGAGGGGTTGGGCAGGGATGCAGAGGATTGGCTGAGACCCACCTCTATGCCCACCACAGCCTCTAGGCCCACAGTTCCTTTCAAAGTGCACAAATTCATGCTCTGGGCCCCTAGGGATGTCATAACTATATATGGTACCAGGTAGGTACTGGAAATATCGGGGTGGGGGAGGGCATTTTGTAAAGCATATGATTGTCATACTACTATGTTTTATACCTGAAACTAATACAAAATAATATTGAATGTAAACTGCAGTTCAAATATGTTTAGAAATAAATTGAGAAAGAAAATCTAGCAGGACAAAAAGAGTGTTAATGCAAAATAAAATCTAAACAAAGTTGTATAAAAAAAGAAATCTTAATTATGTTTATTTGGCATCTAATTTAATTTTATTTAAAATTACATTAGCAGTAAAGGTTTTTAAAAATTATCCTTGCCGAAAACAGTTTGGCTCAGTGGATAGAGTGTCAGCCTATGGACTGAAAGGTCCCAGGTTTGATTCCAGTCAAGGGCATGTACCTTGGTTGTGGGCACATCCCCAGTAGGGGGCATGCAGGAGGCAGCTGATCGATGTTTCTCTCCCATCGATGTTTCTAACTATCTCTCTCTCCCTTCCTCTCTGTAAAAAATCAATAAAATATAAAAAAGAAAAAAAATTATCCTTGTTGTTGAAAATATTACAGATATCCTCCTTTCCCCCCATTAACCCCCTCTACTCTGCTGCTGCTCCCTCCCCAGTTCTTCCTCTCACTATTGCCTGTCCATGGGTTATGCATATATGCATATAAGTTCATTGGTTATTCTATTCCCACCTACCCTTCCCTCTGAAATATGTCATGCTTCAATTGGTTCTGAATCTTTTTTGTTCATCAGTTTATTTTATTCATTAAATTCAACATGTAAGTGAGATAATGTGATATTTCTCTTTCTCTAACTGGCTTATTTTGCTTAAAATAATACTCTCCAAGTACCTCCATATCTTAAAGTAAGATATCATTTTTATAGCTGCATGGTATTCCATTGTGTAAATGTAACAAAGTGTTTTTTTTTTTTTTAAATAAAGTTTTACTTTTCAAAATGTACAGCCAGTGAGATCTGTTGTTCATGCATCTTCTCCAGCAGCTGGGGTGTCCCGACCTTTGGTGCTTCTGGTGTAAATCATATGAGCTCTGTGCTTTGAGACTAGTTTAATAAATCCTTTACTAAGGAGCTTCTGAAGGGCTGTCCTGGCCAAGGAGCCACGAATCTTCAGCCTCTTGGAGACCACAGCTGGAGTTATCAGCTTGTTGTTAGGAACTTCCTTACAGAGCTTGTCATATGTGGCTTTGTCAAACAAGACCAGGTTATTAAGCTTGTCCTGAACTTTGCCTTTGAACCATTTCTTCTTTTTGGCCTTGCTCCCCAACTTGTTCAAGGGGTCTTTGTCTTTCTTGACCAAGTTTCCAACATCTTTCTTCTTGTCATCCTTGGGTGGCATTTTAGAATTCAAAGAGCAGAGATGTGCTGCTGCCTTGCCAAGATGTCGGCCTGAGAGCTGTATCCAATTTTTTTAATCCATACATCTACTGATGGTCACTTGGGCTGTTGACAGATCTCAGCTATCTATCTATCTATCTATCTATCTATCTATCTATCTATCTATCATCTATCTATCTATATAATCTATCATCTATCTAATCATCTATCTATCTATGCCTAAGCAATCATTTGACCATTTGACCATTTGATCAGTAGCTATGATGCGCACTGAGCACCAGGGTTCAGACACTCAAAGCACAGGCATGGAAACATGGAACAGACTGATGCATCTCAGAGAGAAAGGGGATGGGGGAGGTCGGGAAGAGATTAACCAAAGAACTTATATGCATACTAGGAGACCCTCGGCCTGGCCTGTGGGGATTGGGCTGAAACCAGCTCTCTGACATTCCCTGTGGAGTCCCAGATTGCAGGAGGACATAGGCCAGGCCAAAAGATCCGTGCACCAGGCCTCTAGTTATAAATAAGGCTGCTATGAACATAGGGTTGCATATATTTTTTCTTATTGGTGTTTCTGGCTTCTTACTTTCTTATCAATATACAATGTGAATATTAATTTTAAATTATAAGTTTATTGTAGATTAGTTGTTTTTAAGCATACATTTGTATATTAAATGTAAATTGCTTATTTATAACTCTTAGTTTATAGTAATAGTCCATATAATAATAAGCATATTTTTTTGCTGTTTTTAAAAAAATTTCTTGATTGTTTAAAGTATTACAATAAACGTATGTTTTATGGAAGATAACATTTAACACTTTAGTTCCTGGCTTTTATATACATTATTTCTTTTGATAATATAACAGAAACCTTTGCTTGTAAAATACGTGAAGGGGGAAGCAAAACTCTTATGAGAGAACTTGATTTTGAAACTGGAGAAATTTGGACTGGCTTATAGTAAAAAGTTACCATTTACTAAACAAATCAACAAGGATACTGATAGTTCAATTGAATAAGAAAAACCCCACAATCATTTCTGTCCTATATACTACCAGAGTTATTTTCATGGGGATAAAATAATGCATGGGTAGTGTAAATTTTAACACTCTGCAAATATAAACACTGTCATAGTTTTTATGCGTTTTAACATTTCAGAAAGAGAAATGCTTATTATTATTATTATTTTAAAAATATATTTTATTGATTTTTGTACAGAGAGGAAAGGAAGGGAGAGGGATAGAGAGTTAGAAACATCAATGAGAGAGAGTCATCGATCAGCTGCCTCTTGCACACCCCCTACTGGGGATATGCCTGCAACCAAGGTACATGCCCTTGATTGGAATCGAACCCGGGACTCTTCAGTCCCCAAACCGACGCTCTATCCATTGAGCCAAACCGGTCCCGGCGAGAAATGCTTATTATTATAAGTAATATATTTATAATTTGATATTATATTATTATTATTAGCTATGATATTAAACTAGATTTGTCTGTCAATCAAAACCTCTTTATGATAAGCCAGATACAGCTTAGTTTCTAGGCTCTGAAAGGATGACAGTTGGAAAAGTTAAAGAATGAAACATTAAATACACAAAATGCCATGACCATATATCCCAATTTCTGTGACTAAGAGACATGATTTTCATGTACTATATATTATAAGCTATACAATGTGGTGTGTAAGAATAGAAGCTTTGATGCCAGACAATTAAGTTGAAATGCTAGCTCTATTTCTCACTAGCAATATAAATTGGGCAACTTGGTCTACTTTCCTTATCTACAAGTTAGGTGCTGTAAATATTATTATAGCACTCTGAATGTATGCAGTATAAATAAAAAAATTATAGCTATTTTTAGTTTTCAGTTCGTTATAAGTCTTATTTCGTTTTTCTAATTCCATAAAAATCTTTAAAAATTTTTATTGATTTTCAGAGAGAAGGGAGAAAGAGAGATAGAAATATTAATGATGAGTGAATCATTATTGGCTGCCTCCTGCAAGCCCTACTGAGGGTGGAGCCCACAAGCTAGGCATGTGCCTGATCAGGAATTGAACTGTGACGTCCTGGTCAATGCTCAACCACTGAGCCACACCAGCAGGGCTAATCCCATAAATGCTTTAAGAAAAAGGTTGCATGTGATTTTTAAAATATATATATTTTATTGATTTTTTACAGAGAGGAAGAAAGAGGGATAGAGAGCTAGAAACCTCGATGAGAGAGAAACACCGACCAGCTGCCTCTTGCACACTCCCTACCGGGGATGTACTCACAACCAAGGTACATGCCCCTGACCAGAATTGAACCTGGGACCTTTCAGTCCGCAGACCGACGCTCTACCATTGAGCCAAACCGGTTTCGACTGCATGTGAATTTTATACATGAGAGGACATCATTTTTTCAAAAAATAAATCATGAGTTCTCTTGTAAAAGCTACCCTCATCTCTATCCTGAATTACCACAATAGCTTTCCAATTGCTTTTCCTTTTATACTAGCCCCCTCTCAACCATTACAAAACCAGAATGTGTTACAAAGGCTCATAATCTCACTTAGAGGTAAAGCTTAAGTTCTATATGGTTTACTTTCATCCCTTGTCATCTCTCTCAAATCCTAATACTTGAACCCTTGTTCATTTGACAATAGCCACATCATCATCCTTGTTATCCCTTAAATATTCCCAAAATGATCCTTCCCTAGAGTTTTTGCTGTAGTTGTTTCTCTGTGGTTTATCTTATATAATAAAATCCTAGTGCGCTAAGTGTCCAGTCGTCCAGTCATCCATTGCTAATAATATGCTAATGATATGCTAAGGCCACTCAACCGCTTGCTATGATGTGCACTGACCACCACGGGGCAGTCAGTCAACTGGCCAACCAGTCGCTATGACATGCACTGACCACCAGGGGGCAGATGCTCTGACCATTAGGTTAGCTTGCTGAGAGATGGCCTGACATGCCCTGTAGCCCTCCCGTGGTCACTCCTTGGCTGGCTAACCTCTCATGTCTCTCTCCAATCCTGATCATGCACTTTTCCTTGTGTTTATTTCATATGACACCTTAGAAAGTTCTAGCAGAACTTTCCTTGGCCTGTCCTGCACCCTCTTGCAATCCAGGACCCCTTGGGAGATATTGGAGAGCAGTTCAGCCCAATCCCACAGGTCAGGCTGAGGGACCCCACTGGTACCCTGAGCCTCTTAGTATTGAAATATGACCCCAGTGATCAGGAGTACAAAAGAAACAGAGTGAAATGTGAAGGGAAGGAAAGTCAATAGAAGGATAGTTTTCACATTGTCTATGTTGTAGTTATCTCATAGATACTGGATGAACCCTTACCCAATATTTAGTTTGGATGTCCAGAGTGATTATACCAGAGATGGCAGGAAAAAGTTTATTATTCAAATAATGAGGTTTTCTGTGCATATTAATTAGGGGAGGATCCCAAGTAGGTCCAAAAAAAATGGTTGAAAAAGCAGGAAAAGGAGATTGGCCTCGAATTTTTAATGTGGTTAGGGAATGGGGCTAGTATGAACATTTTCTCACATGAACCAGGACTTGCACAAATTGAACTTGGTGTTAGAACACAAAAGGGAGCACATAAGATTTCTGATGTGGAAAGGAGTAAAGCTTAAAAGCTTTGAGCAGTGAAACCTATAATATTGGAGTCATACTTTTAATGTATACTATCACTATTATAAACTGGCACTTGATTCTTCTAGAACTTTCTAAGGTGTCATATGAAATAAACACAAGGAAAAGTAATTAGTAAAGGTGGCCTAAAATCTTTAACTCTCCTACCCTATTGAGATATGCATGCCTGTGTACAGGTAGGTTCCTCAGAGCAGCAAACCCTGTATATAGCGCAGGCCTGAGGCAAAACACTGTCTGATGCAGGTCACAACCTACATGGAACTGTTTGCTGTACTATTGGCTGGAGTCAGATGTTAATTTGAAGGGATTTAGAAGTGGTTCACAAGAAATTTCTGGCAAATGTTTACCATGTATTTCCTACTCCCACTAGAATGTATGCTCCACTAGGGTCGAGATAAATGTTTTCTTTAAGAGTGAAAACTCCTACACCTAAAATTGTGTCTGGCTCAACTTTTGTTGAATGAACTAAGTACTACATATAGAGCATACAAGTGGGAATTATAAACCTGGTCTTATTATTTCTAGCTCAGCAATATTTCCATAGACTGCAGACTGTCAACTTATAGTAACTGTTATTTCAACTGAAAGAGACAATATATGAATCAACTGAACCATAATAGTAGGCACTTAAAATGTGAGTTAACCAACTTTCAAAAACTGTATAAATTGTCAGACAATTAACCTAAGTCAAGTCTTAAAAATTAAGATATTGAAATTAATCTATTCATAATTTTTAAAAATAATTTTGTCAATTGTTGAAATGACAGTAGAAAAATTATAATTAACTATTGAATAGACATATGTAGGTTATCTATTTTAGGGTTTATTTTCAACCTGAAACTAATCTTTCTTTGTGTGTTAGAAACCCATAGCTAGTGTATTAAATTAAGAACAAGCAGATTATGAGCTTTTGAATGAGAAGGCACAAACAAGCCATCCACACAGGGTTGGCAGATAAGTTCCTCAAAATGTGAGCTCTCACTTTGGGGAAGTGAAAAACCCTGTGCCGTTTTGTTTGACGATACATTTTCAATTCACTCACACAAAGGAAGCAGAGTTGCAATATTTATTACTTATAGATCTCAGAAATGTAAATGGGGGCACAATGATCTAGAGGAATGTAAGTTCTCATCCCTAGGTCACAAGTGAGTAGGAGATAGAGAGCACGGTAGTGATCACCTATTACTTTTAAGATGGCAGGGGCAGAGGTCACCAACGTTTTGCTGGTTCAACTCTAAGTGCTTCTTATAAGATGTGCCTGGGAAAAAGCAAAGCAGGAACTTGTGGTAGGAATTCAAATATCAAATCCTTATCTGATTTTGACTCTGGGTGTGAGTAGGGTTTTCATACAATAAC